CTTTTTCCCCCCCCCCCCCCCCAAAGCACCTTACATGATTACCAGCTTAAGTGATAAAGGCATATTGTAAAAAGAATATGTGGGATGTTGCAAACCACCAGCAGGTTCAGCAAAAAATAAACATCCCATCATTAGCCTTGGTCTTTGGAATTATCTAAGCTGCAACGTGATCTCCATTCACCACATGCATCAAAGTTCGGTGTGATTTTTTTTTCTTTTTTAATGACGTTCCATCTTCCTTCTGGAGTGGCAATCTGCCATTTGCTATTGTGTATTTCATAATGAATATTTGCCTGTTTTGTTTCAGGGTTTGGCTGTGGCTGTGCTTTACTGTTTTCTTAATGGAGAGGTGAGTTTCCCATGGACTGAGATTTAGTCATGAATCCTGCTGGATAAGATCAAAAGTTTGTCTAACCCAGCATCCTGTTTCCCATGGCAGTCCACCAGATGCAGGACTGGAGAACAATAGCACTTTTCACCATAGGTTCCCCATCAGCTAGCACTAGGGGCACACCGTTTCTGACACTGGGACATATGTAATATATAGCCATTATAGCTAATAGCCATTGATAGCTTCACCCTATGTAGGGTTTGAACATTCTATTCTTATGTGTTTATCATAAGGATGGAGAACATATAACAAAGCTACTAATCCATGTACATAACAGTATCAACCTTTAAAGGTAGGAGGAAAGAATCCTTATGAATCTTTAGCTTAAGACTTAGGTCACTCATGGCACTAAATCTTGGGTTACCAGCATGGTACCCATGGGCATCAGTGTGCCTCTTGGGCTCCATGCTTCACCTAATTTTTATTTTATTAATTTTGATCCTTTTAATGAAATAAATGGGAGGCTAGCACATTGCAAAACAAAGTGCCAGTCTCAAACTTCATCTTTATTTCAAGGATGCCCTTAAGTCCCACACATATCTCAGAAGCAGCCTTAGAAAATAAAATCCATTGGAGGTAAAGTCCACCTGTCCAGGAAAAAGAAATAAGCAGAAATGATAGTGATCTTAAGGGGATAGAGGTATGGTTAATGGAGCAACCAATTTGTTCTTGATAAGGGAGTGTTTGATGATCAGTCACTCCCACCACTGAAGTCATTTTGTGAACATGCCCTAAGATGCTTTCAAAATTCCAAATGACCCAGTAAGGATAGCAGTGTTCGTGTTATTGATTTGCTTTTGACTTCTGTGATATGTGAAGGCAAACATGTGTTGTGTGAACTATATCACTCTGCTCTGTTCAAACACTGACTTTAAAAATCTCAGTACAGCATGATGCATGAATGTGGCTTATCCAAACAATGGTTTCTTAGCTATTGGGGCCCACTTCTGATCTGGTTAACATGGGAGCTTTTTGGCAGCTGAGCTGAACTGCTTGCCATCCATCTACGAGTGGGCAGAACTTTATATAAGCATGGAATCGGCTGCTCCTCCTCCTGCCTTCTCTTTCAAGGCACTGCAGCTACCTGATTTTCCTCCCAGGTGATGGATTTTATGTACCTTGAGGCTGCTCTTGGATGGTGTTGGAAATGGGGGTGGGGGAGACACCCTGCTTTAACAATGGGACAGCTAAGGACCATTTAAACTTGCCTCATTAATGGGCTGCGGACAAGATCCAGGGAATGTCATGGAGCCTGAGAAAAAGTTGGGGCAAGGTATGTTTATGAAGTGGTTAAGATCAAGTGGGGAAAGGGCCATAGCCATGCAGAAGAGAAGCAAATGGAAAGAGAAGAGCTTCCTGTTTTCCATAAGTTTCCTTGGTGAGCTTTACTAACTCCTTTATTCTTTAACTATCTCCTTTACTTCTCCGGTTTTGGAGCATCAAAATCCTGTTAAATGCACAGAAGATGAGCAGTTGGAAAAAAAAAAGTGACACCACTGTTCTTTAGAACCACAGCAGGAACATGTAGCTGATGTCTTTTCACCGCCCATGTTTCCTAAGGGGCTCCCTACAGGCCACTGAAGTTCTTTATTCGGATCTGTCTTTCCTGTAGTTGCGAATCTGACAGAGGGGATCTAGTACAAGTTGGGGTCCCCCCCTTTTTTAATTCCATGCTTGTGCTGCCCCTTCCCAAAGTGCTTTCTAAATCATTGTCATTCAGGTTGATGGGAAAGAAATTGGTTGTGAATTATTTTTCTCAAACCAGAAAAATATTTAGATAAAGTTACCGTGATTGGGATGTGGAATTATGCCCCAGTACAAGCATCTCCCCAGCTGATTGCTGTTTCTCAAGGAAGAAATTGGGGTTAGGGTGGGGGAGAAATATACCTGTGGAAGTCTTTCAGATCAGGAAGCAGAGGAGCCACTGGGACTTCCACAGGAGGCTTCGGCCTCCCTTTAAAAATAGCTCCAGGCTACGTTCTCACAGCAACCTTTGTGCTGGGCAGCTTTGCTGATTTAATTCCAGCCACCTGTAGCCCAAGAGACATGGCCAAATCGTCCCTGAAACTCCAGGGGGCTTGGGGACACTTTGTTTTCTCAATGGCTGGAGTTCTTGCCTCCTACCCCCTCCTAAAACCAGAATTTGGAGCCGTCTGGTCAAATTGACAGGCTGCCTTACCAAATAATGTGCCTTCTGGTCAGCTTCTAATAAGTTTCTGTAAAAGGCTTGATTTGCTAGGGTTATATAAGCCATCTTTATCAGCATACCCAATCTTAAACCTTCCCAGGCAGTTGCTAGCTGGTTTAACAAGGCCTGGAAAAGTTCCTCCTCTTGATATTCCCAACTGATATCAACAGCCTGTACTGAACTTTGACCTATCATCCAGTTGGAAAAAAGCATCTGGCTGCTAAACTTCCATGTCACGCCACCATCATTGCTTTCACTGGAAATTTGTGTGCAGGACAGCATCATGGCCAAGCAGCTTTCTACTTACTCCAAACTCCAAAAGATCAGATGTAGGGAAAATAGCCAAATGCCCAGAGAAGAAAAGAAGAGAGTAGTAATACACACACACACACACACACTTATTTATTTATTTATTTGCTTACTTACTTTCTCCTTGATGGGGCTGAGATTTTTCTTTTATTCCAGAAGTTGCTGTACTTTGGGGTTGTGGTGGGGGTGGTGCACTTACTGGATGATAAGTTTTGCACTCTCTTATTGGTTGGCTGTAGGATGCTCTGACTGTCTCATGCTGGTCCCCTCCGGTTCTCAGCAGAGAATGAAGATGATCACATGCAACTGAGTTCAAAACATTTTGGAGGAATTGGAGAGTGGAAACAGGGCCGTGTGAAAGTGCCCACTGAGCCTATAATAAAGCAAACAAAACAGGGCCTGCCAGTACATTCTGCCTAGGAATGTGCTGCAATTTGGCTGTGAAGCTGGAAAGGTGTTTTGAAGCAAGTTTGGTGTGCATGCTGTTAGTGTTGAGCCCGGCTTGGGGCTGGGTGTATGTTTTCACACAGTCTCACTTTCCTCACTCATACACACTTGCTGTGGGACGGTCAGTTGCTCCACCCTTTAGGAATCCCTTTTCCAGGTATCCCACAAATGTGGGTTAGTCAGCCAGCCCTTCACTCTGGGAATGCCTTCCTATATGAATCTGTCAGTAGGTTATACCTCTTGGGCTACCCACATTCACTATCAGTAACAGCCAGTGGACCACACTCTGAGATCATCCCTTTGGGCTATTCACGTTCAGCTGCTGGACTTTGCGCTCAATTGTCAACTCCAGGAAAACCACTTTCCAGTTTTCTTGTATTTATTTGATATTTTTCTCAATCATCCATTTCATTCTCTCAAATGTGGCTACTCCACAGCTATGCAAAACACACAATTTTTTTCTTTTATGTTCATTTGAATAAGCTGCAAGCGTAAGTTTAAGAATTAGACCAAATTAGAATCAGACCCTTTTGCTTTTTTAATTGGTTAAATAAGAGTTTAGAATTAATCACTGGAAGTTGACATGTGGTTACTAAATTCATCACACTATTCCAAACCTGGGTGGGAGAAGGGAACATAAGGGAAAGGGGGAAGAAAAGAAGAAGATGGGGATTAGGGAAAGTTCTTAAAGATCTTCCTAGAAGACTTTAAGTACAAACTTTCCTTTGTCTCTCACCATCCAGGGTAGTCTCGATCTTTGTTTTTTTCAGGGCACAACTGGGTAGAGAAAGAGTGCTGGGTAGAACAGGAACTGACAGACTAGTCAGGCTTTAGGAGACTAATGTAGAAGAGTACAGAGATAGCCTTGAAGAAGGTATGCAAGAACCATGACAAAAAGATCAGCGCAGAAAGTCAGAAAGGATTAAGAAAAAAACCCCTCAAGATTGCCCTGGATTGACTCTCTTGGGTATAAGAAGGAAGGAGAGAGAAACTCTGCAGGCTTTCAAGATTCTGTTATACCCTAAAACAACATGGTACAGTTCCAGTAATTCTGGTGGTGTCTGTTCCCTGACCTGGCCTACCTAGCAAACTTTTTCTGAGTACATCTCTCCTTAAAACCTTTACAGTACAGTGTCCTCTCCTGTTACCTCAGCCTGTTCTTTTTATTGGTTCTTCACCACATTTCTCCATTTATGGGGCTTTCCGATCTTCCTTTGCCCTTGTCTCCACCTTTTCTACTTGTATACCCATGGGACTGCTGACGTTTTAGCTTTGCTTCCTTCCTCCGCAGGCAGGTAGTAGCCAACCACACATCATCAGGGCAGGACATTGCGTGAGAGCGATTTGGTCTTGTTATTGACTGCAAAGGTTTTGCCCTGACCCCTGCACCTTGGACAGGGAGAGGGCCTCCTCTTTCTCTTAAGGAAATCAGGAGCTTTCTTACTAAACTGAAACTTTTTGTTCAGGTCCAGCAGGAGCTTCATAGAAAGTGGTGGCAGTGGCACTTAAGGAAGCACCTCGGTTCCCATAAGCATCACAGCTCTTTGTTTCCAAATGAAGTAAGTGGGCTCACTCAAGTCTTGCAGCTGGCAAAGCCTGGTCCTCAGGAGGAAAGACGATCTTCTAACTCAATTCTGAGTAAAATGTAAAGGCTTCTAGTGCAGACAAGAACATGCTAGTTACTCAGAGGAAACCAGAAACTTGCATTTACCTAAACAGGCGTTGTGATTCAGGATTTAAAAGCTAGTTGTCAACTCTACCTGAAGCCTGACTTAAGCTACGGTCGAACCTTGCTATCATATGGATTATTTTGCAAAGATGATGTGTGAAAAGTCATTCCCAGCTGAAAGACTCATCCCTTTCATCTTGCTGGTTTTGTTTTTTGGAATCTACCACTTCAGGAGAATATATGTTCTCTTCTCTTTTTGGTTCCTTATTGGAGTGCTGATTCTGAACAATATTGTCATTTGGACAAGATATGACTCTGACTTATAAACTGGTTATATTTCTTGGGAAAATGTTGTATTGGGTGAACATGATAGAGTGCAAGTTTTCTTGCAGCGAGAAGAGATCCCTTTAGCATCAAAGCCACACCCTCAATTGGTCAAGGGATTTTGCTAGGAACTGTGTGGACTTATGAGTTTGCTGTTAGGGATCTAGGCAACTCAGCTGCCATGATGACCTTTACAACCTCCTCTTGAGAACTGATTTTGGCTCTGACTGACTTTGGGACTGCCACCTGGAAGCTAGACTACAATTCACTTTGTGAGAGACTGCTGTGTATCTTCAGTTCATCTAAGGCAGAAGCTGGATTGGGAAGATAACATATCTTATGTCCATTTTTCTGATCTGATTTCCTGTTGTTTTCTGAGCCTAATTCAAGCAATTGTTTTTGATTGACAAAGCTCTAATGAGTTTGGGAGGTGCCAGGCATATACCTGTGGGTATGTATGGGCCTTTGAGTCAGTGTTGACTCCTGGCGACTGCCTGGACAAGTCCTTGCAGTTTTCTTGGCAAGATTTTGCAAGTGGTTTTCCCTTGCCTGCTCCCTAGGGCTGAGAAAGAGTGGGGCCCAAAGTCACCCAGCTGGCTTTGTGCCTAAGACAGGACTAGAACTCACAGTCTCCTGGTTTCTAGCCTTAACCTCTACACCAAGCTGGCTGTATATACTTGTGGCTCTTCCCAATTCTGTGGGACTACAATTTCCAGCATTTCTGACCATTAGCCAAGCTGACAAGGACTGATGAGAGACAGAATATAGGAAGATCTGAAGAGTTCCTTATCCCTGCCTTCCATTGGTTGTTTCTCATTATATCCAATGTATAATGACCTTATCAATCTGTTGTAAGAGTGCTCTCTTAGCTACTTAATCTCTGTAATAATCAGCACATCAGTGGCATTTGCAGTACCTGTCTATTTTTTGTGAAAAGCTCTTCTCTGGAGGAATTTATCAAAACTCTAGCTAATTTAAGTTGGTTGTACAATATTCAGACTACAGGTAGTCCTTGTCTTATGACCACAATTGGGACTGGAACTTCCATCACTAAGCGATGTGGTCATTAAGTGAGTCATGTCCAATTTTACGACCTTTTTTGCAGTGGTCATTAAGCAAATCCAGCTTCCCCCATTGACTTTGCTTGTCAGAAGCCCCCTGGGAAGGTCACAAATGGCAATCATCCGACCCTGGGATGCTGCAACCATTGTAAATACATGCTGGTTGCCAAGCACTCAAATTTTGATCACGTGACCATGGGAATGCTGCAACTGTAAATGCAAGGTCTGGTTGTCACTTTTTCCACCACTGTCATAACTTTGAATGGTCGTTAAATGAATGATTGTAAGTCAAGGACTACCAGTAGTATAAGTAGTTCATGTCTGTCTTCTGCTAGTTTTGATGAATTGTGTGTTTTTATCAGCGAATATTGATATAGATAGTGGCTTGAGCTGACAGAGTTTCGGTATTGTTCTGTGGTTAGGACAATACAGCTGCTTTGTGGAAACTTTCCATTGTGAAAGTTAGGTATGTGTTTTCATATTATTGCATCTGATTCTGGTTTAACTGCTCCCTGTGCCAAGTGTCTCCCCAGTGAAAGTACTGTTGTAGCTATCAGTAGTCATGAAAATAATACTTCTGGGCCATATGATGCAATTTCAAGAGCCACAGCCTGATGGGTGTGGAATTTTATTTGTTTTACAGGAGCTGCTTGTATCACCACATACACACAAAAGTTCTTTCTGAGGATAGTCAGAGCCAACAATGAATTTTCTGGGCTCTCTTCCCCCCTAAACCAGCTTGCCACAAGCTGATGGCCCCTAGGTGTGTTAGACTATAACTCTCATCACCATAAGCCAATGTGTACAAGGATGGTGGGAGTTGTAGTCCAAGATTCTTGGACATTCCTGGAACATTTAGACATCTCACACACACCTACAGCTATATTCTGCCCAGTTTGTTTTTCTATGGTTTTGTTCACACATTGTACTAAGCTCTAGTTTGTTCGGTTTTCACCTAATGCTGTGGGGCAGGGGGTGTCAACCTAGCACCCTCTTTTCATGGTTCTTAAAGCTGAAAACTCTCAGCATAGAATTTTACCATGTTATGATGGAGAACAGATGAAAGCTTTAGTGTAAGCAAAGAAAATCTGTCTAAGCTGGCTGATCCGTTGCTGAACAATTCTTACCATTAAGATTTTTTTTTCCTGATTATAGCCTGCAATGGCTGGAGGAGATCATTTAATCCAACTCCCTGCTCCTGCATAGTGCTTTGGGGTGGGAGGAACCAGTTCCCTTTTGTATTCCTTGGTTTTTACTTGGTGTCACTGTGTAAAGCATAAAAATAAATCAACCCCCATTCTCACATAGCTTTATGCCCAGAGAATAAAGGTCAGCAGTTCTGGCAACTGTGACCCAAGACCCTCCACCAAGGATCTCAAGTAACTTAGAGGGGAGGGGGCACATTTAAAAAAAAAAATCTGATTAAGCTTGTACAGGCAAAATGGGAACATGGTCAAAACTCACTCTGGCCTTTTCCCCCTAAATTACCTGCATGAGCTCTCAATGGATAATTGCTATATACAGCAAACATAACTGTGTTGTGTGGCCTTATAAAACTCAATTATAAATATATAAATAACTCTTCTGACTCCTAAATTAAAATTCAATTATTAAAAACGATATATCTATTTCTTGTCCAGTGCCAATGAAATCATTAGTCTTATTCATGGGGTGGGCATCACACAAATTGATTTGCCATTTTAAGCTGCCACCAAGCTTGAGAACCAACCCACCGAGGTGCTGCTTCATTTCTCTCCCAGAGTGGCCTCTGGCTATCTGGCCCCGCGCCACAGGATTTTTAAGATGCCCCTAGACTCTTTGGTGTCTTTGTTGCAAGACTATTAGTGGCTGTAGTCTCCCTTGGTATCAATCACTATCTGGAATGTTATGTGTAGTCACTCTGCTGTCATAAAGTTGTGTTTGTATACTTGGTTATCTGAACAGAAATTCAAAAGTAAAGCAACCTGTTTGTTAGCCCCAAGTGAGAGAAAAGTAAACAGTCCCCAAGGTAGGAGAGGAGGAGAGCTGTCACACATCTTCCCAGCATGCTTGGATGGTTCTCTGTCCTGATAATAAAATATCACACAGGGAGAAGTATCCTAAATATGAAGAATTCCTGGAGTAATTAAAATTAGAGTCTTTCTTAATTCAACTTTGTCATCCTTAAGCTTTTGTACCAATAGAGGCGAATATGTGTAGCTCAGGGTTGAACCGTGGAGTCCTTGGGGTTCTCTGAGCTTGGTTCTTTTCTTGCAAACGTTTCATTACCCGGCTAGGTAACATCTTCAGTGATGTAAGCTTTTGTCTTGCATAAAACTTTGCACAAATGGTAAGAAGCATTATCTATGTCAATTTAGTTCTGGCCAAGCTTCCATCTTGCATGCTCTCTTTACCCCCCACCCCACCTTTTGTATGTAAATAAACATGCACGCCTTAATGTGCACACTTGCTGCAGACAAAAAGTCTGAGAGGACTAAGTAATACCCATTGGCAGATAGATAGCTCTACCAATATTCCATGAGTCATTTTTGACATGTCTGTCTTGCATACTATGACCATTTTGAAGCAATCCTTTACTGAATGAATTGACATGATTTACAAGCCTAAGCTAAATATTCAGTAAAGATGTTGCTTACTATCTGAACAGGACTTCCTAGTTGGATTTGATCAATGCGTGTCTTGCCACAACCTTCCTCAACTTCATGCCATTCAGAGATGTTCAATGTGAGTAAGGGAGACAGCATCCTCCAGCCGCTACTTATCCCTAGAAGGTGTATATCCCCACCATGAGGTATACCTGGATCACTATTTTTTTCTAAAGAAATTCAGTCTCTTCTGCTAAGTACTCTGTATGTGGGATCATACAGTCCAAGGATCATATAGTCCAACAACTATGTACCATGCAAAGCTGAAAGCAGTAAAATATAGTGCCAGGTGTTTCTATAGTCTTAGTTTTTATTTTAAAAACTCATCTAGCCATTCAAAGTTTAGGGAAAAGTCAGGAAACACTCTGGATAAATACATTGTTCAGGAATCGTTTAATAGTCTAGTGACCAAGCACATTGCATCTCATTTCTGTACACTTTACTATCTAATGAATCTTTGCTCAAAATTCTTAAGTTACATCCCTTTTTCTAATTTTGTAGTTTTGCACAGCAAGCAAGTTATCAGTTTACATCTACTTTACAAAGATTTTTTAAGTTCAAATTCTGATTTCTCTGAGAATTTTTTCCAGCTCCTTTTCTGTATCATTTAGTGCAAGTACAGGGGTTTATGTGTGTACATATATATTCACTTGCATTTGCTGTATGTCTCCCAGCTGTGACATTTATAGGTGACTAGAATTATCCATTTAAAAAGTAGTTTATTGAACATTTGACATTCAGATCCTAGATATCTTCCAACTTTCTTTTACAGTTTGTAGAAAACAGTTTAGAAAAGCTTACCTATTATAACTTACTTAATAAAACAATAATTATTAGAGATAAAGATCACCTAAGTAGTTTATTGAACATTTGACATTCAGATCCTAGATATCTTCCAATTTTCTTTTATAGTTTATAGAAAACAGTTTAGAAAAGCTTACCTACTATAACTTACTTAATAAAACAATAATTATCACAGATAAAGATCATCTAAACAAACACTTTCTGGCATTTACTAGCAAATAGCCTTTAATAGGACAAAGAAGAGTCAACTGTAAATAGTATTTACAGCTCTTTCAGAGTGTCAGCTCAAAATTGGTCTCTAATGTATTGTAATTGGATAGTTTTGAAGGCCTAATTTAATCAGAACCATCGTTTTTGAAAGGCAAGGATGATGACCATTCATTCAGCCCATGAAAAGAAAGGGTTCAGCCTTTTGAACATGAGCTGAAATTCCAGGCAAAGGATTGAATCATCAGAGCAAGAAAAATGAAAATAATACAGCAGCAAACACAGACACTAGCAGTATATCATCCGAGAAATCTGGAAGAATTCCACATTTGTTGTATTGCAAGCTAACCATTTGGAAAGCTCCATGGAGATCAAGGTTTGTCTTAAGTTCTTTAGATTATATTTTTCAAGGTAACTTCAAATTTCTTCACCAGGTGGTTGGGAAAGCTGTTGAATGAAATTAGTAACATGATAGACATCTGGCAACTGGGGAAAAAAAGCTATTGTTTTTAAAAACTATTCTCAATGTGAAAACATCAAAGCTCCAATCAAACAAATGTATCTTTCTTCAGATTCATACAATTTAATTTATACAGACCACAAAACAATACAGATAGATATGATTTGCTAATTGCAGGGCATCCGTCACCCTGGGAAGGATCTGGAGATACTTCATTGTAGTAACATCTCATGTTCTTCAACTGTGCAAAGTCTAACCATGCATAAGAGGTAATAATAAAAACGCAAGTTAAATGAAGTGCCAAGATCTTCCTAAGGGACAATGAATGGGATATCTTCTTTTGGTCATGGTAAACAAAAGTATATGATGCTGTTAGCATGGTATGTGAAGCTACTGCTTCTATCATAATTTGTCTAGTTAATTGACGAGCAGACTCTTTCCATTTATGGTCCTCTTAATATATTACACTATAACTCCCATTGCCCAAGGCAGCCTATGAAATGCTGGCTGGGGTTAGGCATTTAATCCGAACCCACCAGATTGGGGGAAGCTTGTTTAGACTACCAACATACTGGCTCTTTATTCCCAAGTAAAGATGGTTTGGAAGCTTCAAACATTTTAGAGGTAAACTTAGTAGAATAAGTAGGGCATTCCTAAATAGTCTTACAGCCAGCTGTAAAGACACAAGTATAAATAAGAATTAGTAAACCCAGAATTCAGTCTGGCATGCAGCTTTTACTGGAATACAGTGTTTCTTTCAAAAACAATGGTTCAGTGCAATTTCTCCATAGACAGTCTGACATCTTATCTGTGTGTTTCTTATGCTACTGATTTTTTGTTGTTGACAGTAATGGAAAATTTGGATTGGCAGTATAGGATATTTAGAAGTAGAAAATCCACAGGGATGGATTCAAACATTTAAAATGTTTTAAAATGGCAACAACTGTCCCCAGTTTATTCAACTTAATGCATTATTGTTACAGTAAAACATTATGAAACTACAGTACACGATAAAGGACACAAGTTGTTAATGAATAATAGAGAATTAATGTTCTAAACCTACGCTAAATCTGATCTACAATTTATTTCATTCATACTGTAGGAAAGTCTTAGGGTTGCAATCTTACAAGCTATATGTCAAAAAAAGGAGTGTATGAGTCTCCTATTTTTACCATTACCGCAAGCAAACATCTACGGTAATAGGGATGACCCTGTATTCTTAGCTGAGAATATACTTTTTAGAGGGATAAAAACTTAATTTTCTGTAATTGTGAAAAGCAGGAAGTAAAACTGAACAGGGCATTTTGTGGTTACATCCTCTGTAGTTAGAAATACATGGAGTTGCGATGCCTCTATGAAAAAAATATTTCTAGCTTGCAGGAAGGGGTTGACTCTCCACTACAATTCATTAAACTGCAATAGCACAGGGCTCTTTTTAAAAGATTATGTTAGATGGATAGCTTGCTTCTCAGCAGGAAAGGATCTTAGGATCCAGTTTACTCTGTTAGAAAATGCATACAGTGCTGGCATGATGTATAAATTATGTATAATGAAAGAAATAATAAGCACAGCTTTTAATAGTGGCTTACATCTGGCCATGTGAAAATGCAAATTATTTGTGTTTATTTGAAAGTGAAGTTCTGGTTGGCACTGCCCTATGCCCTCCATAGTACAAATATTTCTTGAGAAGAACACAATGCAGGGTAAGAACAAAACACATTCACACAGCGTACGTCTTATTCCACTTGGCTACGGAATTTGGTCCCCACCCAACTAATTGAAAATAGTGAGATTTGTTGTCTTATTCATTTCAGTGAGATACTTAAAGGATAATGACTGTAACTGGACTAAGGACATTGAGGCTTATGAACTGAGTTTTAAATTAAGCAAGTTACTTTTTGCTATTCCATTACTATGGTTAGATGCATTATTTAAAATCCCAACAGGTTATAATTTCCCATTTCCAGTACTCAGCATCCATTATCAACTGAATTTGGAGACATCCTCTAGAAAGTAGCAAGCTGTTGGAAATCTTTTATCTTATGCTATAAACAAAACAAAACTAAACAATTCCCCTCAAAAATGACCCCCTTGGCGTCTTTCTCAAACATTGATGAGCTGCAATATATTCTCAGGGTATTTGGTTGAGCTGCTGTTCATCATGTTTAATTTTTTCTCATTCTGTTCCATGGAAAAGTTAAGTTGTTAAGGTGAAGTCCACTGATTCCATTAAGGAAGAAAAGGAATGTTGCAATAAATTCACACCAATAGGTTAACGTAAAACTTGTGATAGTGATGTAGTCCCTCAGAAGGATTAGAAAGGTCACCACTCCAGCAGATGACAGCAGAAATGAGAAAAGAATGAGGACTGAGCCCATGGACCATTTTTTCCTTGAGTTGATGTCTTCGCAGACTTGAGAGACCATGAGAAGTTCCAGGCCAAAGATTGCAACAACAACAGCGAAAGATGCCATACTTCTTGCAAATGTCATTCCTATGCTTAACCCTCTGATATTGGTCAGAGAGAGATCAGTGGTACATTTCAAGGTGCTGTTGCTTCCAATGGTACAGAAATGCCACAGCCCGAAGAGTTTTCCTTTTGTAAAAAGCCAATGGCCATCACATACTGCAATGGACAATAAAACAATGGCAATTGCAACGCAGAGAATAATTAAGCTCCTAATAAATGTCTCAAAGAATGATTTCTTTGGTCTTCTACGAGTAAGTAACCACTGGGTCTTCAGGAGAAATTCCCAAAGAAGAAAAAGGAAGAGAAAAAAAGAAACATAGCTTTAGTTGAGGTAGAACAGACTATTTTGTTAAGAGCTGCATCCCCTTGGGATTATCTTTTGAAAGCCAGAGTGCCTGTGATAGCTGGAACTGAGACAGACAGTAGCTGTGGAGCCAGACCCCAAAGTGAATCAGGCCACATGTATTCTCTCTTTCTGACATTCCCTGTTCTCTGGTTCTTTATCTTTCTGCTATTCGTTCTTTCTCTCAGCCCCACAGGGTGACCAGGCATGTTGCTCTTAGTAAAATCTAGATTGCTCACTTGCAGAGTTTCTGAAAACAGACTGAGGGTTGTATAAAGTTACCATACTGTATCTCTTTTAAATAACAGACAACAAACTGTGATTTTTGGCATGCCAATTCATATCGTCAGTTAAAGTCAATTAAATATACTTTAAAGACCATTTATACACAATTGTTCCGAGAATGTCTTAAGAAGAATGCATACAGTTTAAACACTATTAACGCATTCCATGAATTCTACAGAATAGAAGCCCTGTAAATCTTCTGTTAATTATTCTATGGGAATGTAACATTTGGAAATAAAGAACATTATCTGTAATTTGTCATTCTCAAGGAAATGAAATGAAACTACAATAATGTGACTTCCTTTGAATTTTTTTGCATACACATCCTGACAGACAACTATTCAGAGAAGTCTCAAGATACAATTTTTAATACCAGCGGATATAGCTAGCAGCATGCGTTTTGCTAAAAGAGCAGAGACTGATTTTTGACAGTCACAGGAAATCCCCACCATCACCATTACAAAGTAAGCTCTTAAAATCTCTCTGTGTAAGCACAGATCTATTTACCCAAATGGACTGTCTTATTTTCAGGCAAGTATTTCTGATTAACACAGTTCCACTAGCTATCTGGCTTAAGACCGCTAGAAATTTTCCAAGGAAACATTCTAGCTTGGCTCCCACAGACTTAAACTGACCTAGCCCATTTGGTCTGCAGAGCTTCATACAGGACCTTTGCTTTTCCCCTAAATCCCCTTTTGAGGAAGAATAATGGAATACAGGCAAAACTGGGAAGAGAGTTGGCACAATCCAACTCACTTTGTCCACATGCTGCTTTTCCCCACTGAAAGGGAATAACAGGAAATAACACTGCAGGATTAGACTTGTTTTGCCTTTACTGTATCTTTCCTCACCATAGCTGTATCAAAGTTCTACTTTTACATCTTGTGGAAATAGTGTTAGTACATTATGAATCCCCAGCAGTACATCTTATTTTGACTATCTCATGCATGCACTACAAAGGCAACAGCCTTTTCATCTAGGTGTCCTCCAACTATTTATTTGTTAGATTTACCTTTTCTTTAAAAGTTCAACATCACTTATAGCAGGACCTTCCTTCATTTTGTCTCCACAAGAGCTACCTTCTGAGGTAGGTTGAGCTGAGGGACAGTGACAGATGCAAAATCACCCAGTGAGTTTCTTTGGCTAATGGGAAACTAGAACCTGGGTCTCCCCAGTTCTAGTCCAACACTTTGATCACTATACTGTGCTGGCTCTTGATGTTTATCTGGCATTAAAAAGTAGTTTAATGATAAGGTGCAAAACCATAACCATGGTTATAACACTTACTGGCATAGCCAAAGCAGCAATCCTTCATTTGCTATTTTTTAATTGCTTTCCCTCATCTGTATCATACTATACTGTACTCATTTTGTAATATCATTTATATTTTACAAACAACAGGCTGGAAAGACCCTAATCCCAAAGGACTGTAGTCTAAAACAGGCCAGGGGAACAACTCAAGAAAAAGAAGAGAACAGAATAGGCATTTTTTCCCATGACATGCAGTTTGGCTTGGTTACACTACAGTATTGAGGTTGGGAGAAAGATCTCAAGGCTTTCAGGACAGATGAGTTTGAAGGAGGTTTTTTTAAATAGTTTCTGGCATCAGGGACGTCAAGGGAGAAGTCATTTCAAGATGTCCAGGATCAATGGAGTTGTAAAGAGTGATAGCAACAGGAAGAGATGTGCTGGAATATCAGCATGGAGGGATAAAGCAACAGAAGATTTTACAAGTAAGGATAAGGAACTCCTGCAAGATCTGTATGGATGATACTTCTGAGTCAGCTACTCAGCAGGCAATTAATTCACATCTGGCACCACTTGATCATGGATGATCACATGTGGTGGTCATTTTTGAAGTCATCCAGCTGTCTTTTTTTTTTTTTTAAGTGAATTATCACCTAATAACATTGTGGGGGCTTACCTATCCTATCCCCTTCTGCTTCTTTTCTACCTTCTTCACACAATTAAGTGAGGAGTTTAACTTTGAAAAACTTGGGGCTTGTTTCTAGCTAAAATTAATTCCCTCTTCTTGGCATTAACATTGACTGGGGTTTATTTCACTGTGTTGTGATGTTCACATGATCCCCTAATACCCTCTTTAACCCAGTTAAACATGCTATGTGAATAGGGGCTGAGGGGAAGATACGAACAGATTATAAGCCTTTGGTGAGCTAAATGTCTAATAGACATAGGTGGATGAAAAGAAGACAAGAGAAGACCAAGAGGAACAAAGAGCATTAATTGGCAAGAAATGACCAGGCTTTTGTACAGAAAGAAAAGACAATTTTTTTTATAAATGTTGTCAAAAAATAAGGAAAGAGGGAAGAGGCTATACATTTCATTTTGGACAAACTGAATGTGAGAAGATAAAGCAGCAGTACCTACTATAGCAGAATGGGGAATCAGTAGCTCTCCAGATGTTACTAATCTAAAACTCACCCAAACCCCAATCATCATGGCCAATTATGAGGAATGCTGGGAACAGCAATATTTGGAGAACTACTGATTTGTCATCCTTGCATTTAAGCTTTTGAAAACTCTAAAATACACCATAAATGCTAAAGATGATTACAGAAAGAGATTGAAAGTTAATCTTGAGTTAGTCAGCACTATTCCATTTCTGAGGAATTTAGCTCCAAAAGTATTGATCAAGAAATATTCTCTTATGTTTCCTTTTTTCTTAATTGCCATTCCTGTGGCGCACTTTGTTTTGAAAATCCCTCTTGTACAAGACTTGCTGTGCACAAGCCAGTTTTGCTGAAACATCAGTAACATGCCAGCAAGGGACAGACTTGCTGATCTTTGTAAACAACTCATTGCATTATAAGAAAAAGGAAGGAAATTGAGCAATTTGAGGATGGTACTTTGGTTCTTAGATGCCCCCACCCCTAAAAAAGGTAGAGAAAGCACATCAAGCATAACTTCTTTAATTCTTTCCAACCTCCTTATCAGCAATAGCTATAGGAGGCATCTGTATTTGCTTCTGTGTAATGAAGTAACACATTCCATCTCTCTGGGTGAATGTGCCTCCTTTCTTACCCCATGTCTGTGAGTGTTTGTGTGATGCCTGCATTGGGAAGCGGGGGGCTGCATATACTCTGCTCACATGACCAGGAGAGAGACAGGCTTAGAATGGAGTAGTTAGAATGGAGCCCAACTGATCACCTATTAGGATGCACAGGCAGATTTTTTTTTTCTGGAATATTTTTCTTTGCAGTTTCTGGCCAGATTTGGCCCATTTTCAAACTCCACCTTCTTTTGGTGGCTTCTCCTATTGTATCAGGTTTTGTCTAATTCTGTTCATGGTTTGGACAGTCATCCTGCTGATGGGCAGATAGACGGAGTCTCCTGAGTCTCTCTACATAATTTCTTTCCAACCTTCTGTTGTGTTGGAAACATTTCATTTTGTGTGTGTTTCTACTCACCCCACTAGTTGGATTTGCATGTGTTTATCTGAATTCCCCTCAGAATATTATCAGGTTGGATGCATATATGTTGGTATGTGTGTGTTTCTGTTCTCCCCCCCCCCCATGTTACATCCATCTTGTTTTAGTGGTGGGAAGCATAGGGCAGGCTGTAAATGCTCCCTTCTGAGTCACATGACCTTCCACCTTTAAAGAGAGGATGTTTAATTTTGTTTTTCTTAATAGCTCTGCCCTGGGTCACATGATCAGGAGGGGGAGCTTAAGAATGGACATTAAACATCAGCATTCTGAATCACTGCCCGGCTGCCTCTTCTATAGGGACATAAAGGGGGTGAGTAGAAACACACACAAAATGAAATGTTTCCAACACAACAGAAGGTTGGAAAGAAATTATGTAGAGAGACTCAGGAGACTCCGTCTATCTGCTCATCAGCAGGATGACTGCCCAAACAATGAACAGAATTAGACAAAACCTGATACAATAGGAGAAGCCACCAAAAGAAGGTGGAGTTTGAAAATGGGCCAAATCTGGCCAGAAACTTTTTTTCAGGAAAGTTTTCTTCCAAGCCAGATCTGCCTTTTTCAAATTCAGTCTTTTTTATGCCAGCTTCTCCCATCACACCCCCTAATTTTTCATCTCATTTGGTTCACTTCTTGGAGGGTCACCCGCCAGACAGAGCCTGAAGCCCTTTCGTGTAACATTGCATTGGGCTGGAAAGAACTAAAACCAGCACTCTTTACCTGAAGCCCAATCTTCAAACGTGTTTTTTCCCAGCCTTTAAACCCTTCCCAAAGCCGTGCAACCGTTTGCCCACAAAAGTGAGACGCCTGTTATCCCTGTGCGATAGTAAATCTAGGAAGGCCGATTTAAAACTGAACTTCAGGGGAGCGGGGAGAAGACAGTCTGTATGATAGAAGACTTTCAACTTTTCAATATTTGAGTACCAGACCAGTGCTTGGTTAGGGAAACTTTCCGTCTAAAAGAAATGCAACAGTCAGGATTTATGGTTTTTCGGTGGAAAAGCTCCCCCCCCCCCGCCTCCCCGCGTTTCAAGAGAGGATTTGCAGAGAGCAACAGGTGATAAAGAAGTCCGAGTCGGTCGCTGCGAGGAACCGCTCCGCCTGGAGGGCGAAGAGCGAACGCGTATCGGGGAGAACAAAGGAGCCGCCGGCACAAGCTTCCACGGATGGAGCGCCCGCGCCCCGCAAGCCCCGCTGCCCGCGCCAACGAGCGCCTCTTCCACCCCCGGGACGCGGCAGTCTCCCCTGCTTCCGCTGCTGTCCCCAAATTACCTGCGCTGCTATGGCTGTCATGGTGACTTGCGCTCCTTGCGGAGGCGGAAAGCCGGAGGGGAACTTCGCTCCGCTTTGTCCCTGGCGCTGGCGGGAAAAGTCTCCGGCGCCCCCTTCAGCGCCAGAGGGGTTCGGGGCAGAGCGGCCCCCCGGACAACATCCCCGGAGAGTCGGTCAGGCCGGGCGGCGGAGTGCCCTTTGAGTTTTCGCTCTGACTGAGTCAGCAGCCCAGCAGCTCCGGGAGGAGGAGGCGGGCAGAAGCGGG